AAATAAAACTAGATTTACAATCTAACCTAAATAAAAACAAGATCTACAATACTTGTGCGGTTGATGATTCTTGCGACGGTGGTTGTGTTGTTGTGGTCGCCCTTGTTGTTTTTGCATGGTGATGGTGGTGTTGTGGTCACCGTTGTTGTTGTTGTCGTTTGTTGGTGATGGCGGTGGTGTTGTGTGAAGGATTTATGTCTTCATCAACTGCTTACTAGATATATAAATGGATCAAATTATGGAGATAATTAAGTTCGTCCATTTGGGTCGTCGTGATATCATAGCTAGAGGTATTAACGATCTTTGGGCTAGTAAAATAGGCCAAATACCAATTGGAAGAATCCTATAAGGTCACACAAAGGGCCTAGATCAAGCATAAGAGGATGAGGCGCATGATGGGCCTCATCACTCTAGGTGGTCAGCCATGAGGGTGGTTTGGAGGGTTATTGGGCTCCCTAACCTAGTTTAATTATAATAGGATTATAAATAGACTAGGTGCCTAGGTGTTTCATAGAACAGTTTGACTGTTAATTGAAACACTAATTAGTAAATACGAAATCAAGCCTCTCAAACCTCCCTCTCTCTCATGGCTCTCTCCTCCCCAAGGCGCTAGTGGTGTGCGGTGGTGGTGGTGATCGTTCGTGGTGGTCGGTTGTCCAAGGAAGGTGGTGATCGCGGTTTTCCCTTTTACTCGACCAATCTAGCATTGGTGAACGTTTAATCAAATCCCGTGGACTAATTAGAGTAGTCACGCTTGGGGCTCTATTCTCTCCCTGATTAGCTAATCGAATAGCTACGTGGAATTCACACTTCAAAGGTATAATTATGTGATTCTTGTGTGTTATGCATATGATCCAGATTTAGGTGCGTATGAATATGATTCATGGAATTCTGCTTATAGTACCTAAAATCCTACATTATGGTCGCCGTTGTTGTTGTTGTTAGTTGTTGGTGATGACGATTTTCGTTAATGATGTTGATATAGTTGGTTGTTGTTGTTGGGTGTTGGTCATGGCCGTGGTGAAAGAAGAGGAGAGAAGAAAGAGACGGACATAGAAAGTAAGGAAAGAGAGGAAAGGAGAGGAAACAAGGAGAGGAGAGGAAACAATGAGAAGAGGCAAACCTCGAGAGAGGAAGAGAAGGGGAAAGAGAAGAGGGAAAGAAAAGAGGTGGAATAGAAAAGAGGTTAGGGTTAGGGAAAAGAGACGGGTCACGAGATTTGTTTTTTTTTTCCTTTTTATGAGGTTATGTTTCGACGGAATTTCCGTCGGAAATTTCCGACTGAATATTTTCCGTCGAAAATGACCTTTTCCGACGGAATATTCCGTCGAAAAGTACAAATACTTTGACAGATTCATATTCCGTCGGAAATTTCCGACGAATTGTTTGCATTCGTCGAAAATATCCGACGTTATAAAATTACGTCGGAAATTTTGAATTTTCTGACAGAATTACGGTTCCGTCGGAACGAGTCCGTCGAAAATCGACAGTTTTCTTGGAGTGGAACGGAGTATTCCCGGCCTCCTCAGTATTGACCGTCTTCCCCCGGGGTTTCTTTCATACACCCTCACCCTCTCTTCTGGCCAGCTGTCTAGAAGAAGAGGGAATCTTACCCTTCCTTTTGCAGCTTTTCCAAGGCGGCCTTTAAGGAAGCAGCCGTGACAGTAGGATCCTCCGCCTCATGGAATAGAGTGGTAAGAGGATCGCTAGTGTTGATTGTTGCAACGAGATTCTCTACATGTCCGTCCTGATCAAGACCGGGTGTCTGACCATCTCTAGCCATTTCAAACGTGTATCCCCATAGACGACGTCATATTTTTCGGGGCTTCGTAGAATCCCTCGAGACACAGGTCTTGGATATAGACGGACGGTCTTGGACTTCTGCAAAATAACGAATATTCCGCTTGACGAAATATTCACCTCTGACGATCAAGTTAGTGATCGGAAAACGATGTAATGTAGAGAGACAAAATAGAGAGAAGTTGGAGCAATTTAATACTCTTGAATGATATGTCTTAATCCACCCCTCCCATCATAAATGATTGGGGTATTTATAGAGGTAGGAATGTGTGTCATCTAGGGTTTCATGACCTAGAATGGTGTGCTCTGATTGGCGGCACAATCAAGCAAGGACAAGTGTCCTTTGGGGCGCCGTTTTAGCGCCTTTCTCCGGTTTCGGGCCTCCTGATGTAAGGTGGCCTTTCTCTCATTGAGGTGCTCCTATGTTTTGATATGTGTCAGCATACTATTGGGACACGTCGCCCATCTATTGGGCCACGTGTTAGGGGTATTTTTACTCTTAATAGTTGTTATAAGTTAAGTGTAATTGTAGATTTATAGAGAACACTTAGGTTGAGTGTTGGAATTTTTATTGAGTGATTAGGAAAAAGATACATATGAGCGGAAATGGACATATTGATTGGACCGTCACCATTCTTAAATCCAGTTGATTGACTTTTCCTTTATTTTAAATGGTTGGTCAAACCTCTTTTTAAATTTTTTTCTTTTTTTATTAAATTTTTTTTTTGAAAATTAATTTCTGAATTTTGGAAAAAAATAAATTATTTTCATTATTTTATTAAAATCCAAAAATAAGATTAAATTAAAAAAATTAAAATAAAAAAAAATTATTCTTCAACGTTCTTCATCCATGGATGAAATTAACTACCAATTTATGATTTTTATCCCTTAAATTCACTCGCGCATTGATGGAGAATGAACACATGCCCAATCTACACACCATCTACGATTTTTTTTTTTGTTTTTGAAAATCGAGGTTCGTGCGAATCTGGGTTGTTTCTTAATCCTTAAAGAATAAAACATTTTAATTGGACAATCTCAATCAAGGGATGCGAATGAAATCGATGATTATATGTATTCGAAAATCTTAATTTTCAGTTTTTCGATAAATCTGGGTTTGTGAGGTAAATCTTGGAAGAAACCGTAAAATATTTTCTTCAAAACTCTGTTTGATCCAAAAAAACGAAGATGAAATTTTAAATCTTGTTTTTGTATAAGGTATTCACCTAAATACTAATAGGACATTACTTGTGATGCACATCTTTAATAATTATTGCCTATGACCATATGTCATTTTGGATTTACAAATTTATTCACACTCTAATATTATTACTTTATATTAATAAGTTACTTTCTGTTTATAATTTGGATTAGTAAAACTTTTGCATGGTAAGTACTCTTGCTTAATATTCTAAATTACCCTATAAATGATAATTACCTTTTTATTTTGACAATATATTGATCACTTGATAAACTTACCATTATTGTTATAGAAGGGTGTCTGTTAGAATATACTTGATATATTATATTATAGAAACAATATCCCCTCTTCCCTAAAAAGAAATTACACAATTCAAGTTTTTAGATAAAGAACTTTGCTCTAAATGCTCCCTACCTCATCTCTGTTAATTGCAAAAGTTCAAATATATATATTTATGCAAGTACAAACTAAATACCTAGAGAACGCTAAAACTCGACCAATTATGTATGTATTTGTCAATAAGTATAAATGATATCCGTAAAAACTTAATATTAAGAAATTATACACTAAAACGACCAAATTACAAATATTGATCAAAGTGGTGTATTGTATATAAATAGTGTAAACATCAAATTGATGCATTTGTTATGAAACGAACGGGCAACACACCAAAACCAACCCAAAGACAAGTCTTACCAATAAACCTGAAGAACGGAAGCACTCGATAACCATTTAAACCTTTACTTTGGACCCGTACTTGCGTTGCTAACTGGAACCTCAAGAGGGACAGTGACTGAACCTTGATATTTGTGATGGGAACTGAAACCTGCAAAGAGACCGAAGTGAAATCTTGCTGGAAGCTATTGAGAGTTGAACCAACTGGAAGATGAATGCACCATGTAGCTTTAAAACGAACCTATGACACCATTCCACTCCAAGGGATGGACAAACACTAATGCTTCCTTGGAGATATTTCTTAATGACTCTTCCATGAGAAACCTGGAATCCAAATGCAGGTTTCCTACTTGCAACTTCACCAAAGGAGAGAGAAAGACATTGGAGGACTTTGTTTACCCTAAACATATATTAAAGATGGAGAGCCTCATTCAAGATAGAGGTTAACAGAAATGACTGACTTGGTCATCACATACACTAACAAAGGGATGATGGTAACTAGAAGAATACTCAAATCATCCTGCAAACAAGACAACACATGTAAAGCAAACACACTTCTCCCTTCAACAAAACCACTAATTGAGACATGGAACCCTAGAGCTAGAGCAAGTGCAGAAATGAAAATTCACATTAAAATATAATTCCAGAATGTCTCTCTATAGCGAACCCCCACCACTTTCTTTTTCTCAAACCCCTGCTCGCTGGCAACAGGCGCGCTACTCCTAGCCGTCGCCGGTGAGTGCAATCCCTTAATTTCTATTTAGTTTAATTTCTTTTATAGTGGTCTCTAGGTGAAGAAAACAAGGGATTTGCAAAGCCGTTTGTTCTTCATCCTCTTCGGTGGTTCATCAATTGTGGTGTCTCGTCAAGCGTTTTGCTCATCAAAACAAGGACCAAAGGCTACTCTTAACGCCGCTGTCGAAAGAAATTTTGTTAATCCCAACGGTAAAGGTAAAGTTAAGGTTAGGGTTTCCTCGCTTTTTTCCAAGGTTCGGTTCAGTGAGGTGGTTCTTACATTGGCCGTGACAATTGTTCTTTGTGTTAGGTCGGTTTCTGCCAGTGAGGTTTAATTTGGTTCTCATTGCTTTTTCTTGTTGACCCACAAATTTCATTATGTTTGTGTGCTTGTTTTCTTGGCCTTGGTTAATAGTGGTTAGTTTGTTGTCCTTGATTTACCTTAGTTTAATTATGTTATCCTTCTGTAATTTACTGTTTTGGTTTTGGTTTTTAATAATTCTCTTTCTCTACTTGGTCATGAGTTAGAGTTCCATAGGGTAGTTTCAGTTATGGAGGTTCACGAAGTGTTGTTGTTGTCCTTGGAGCCTTGTTGGTTGGTTATAGGGGTTGTAAGGTTAAGCAATCCCTTGCTAGTTAGATTGGTGGTCCTTTTGGTTGCCTTTTCGGGGTGTACGTGACTATGTTCCTCTGGTAGTTAAATATTTTCAGGTGAAGGGGAGTAGGGATGTAAGTGGGGCGGGTCTAACTTTGGCGAGTCGCGGGGCGGGGATGGGTCTAAAATCCATACCCGCCATGGGTGAGGGGCGGGAGTGGATTTGAAGTAATACCCGCCCCGCCTGACCCACCCCATACCCGCATTATACCCAACTCATATGTATATAATAACATTCAGCAAAAAAAAAAAAAAAAAAAAAAAAAAAAAAGAGTTACTGACTAATGAAGTCTCTAGACACTAGACTTCTAGAGAAAAAAAAAAACCACACTCATTCAGTCATTCTCAAATCTCAACCCTAGCCGACACACACTACTCTCTCCTCTCACCTCTCTTCTCTCAAGCTCAAATGCCCAGATCTACTGACTAGTACTATTGACGCCCCACCCCACCGCAACTGCCTACTTTGATAGTGGCGGCCGACCTGATTTTGCTGCCGGTAAAGTTCGTCACCGGCTTCCGACTTCGTTCAAACTTCTCCAAGTCTACACTTGAATTAATTTATAAGGTATATAAATTTTTCCTTATTGTATATAGATCGACGATTGTTCACCAAAACCTCCTCACCACCAGCGTCGACTCCAACTTCGACTTCGATTTCATCGACGATGGCGGCTCCTGCTATTTTCTATCGTCCAATTTCTTCGCTGAATTTCATGTGTTGTATATCATTGGTAATATTCAGAATTTTCACCTTGAATTTTCCGATTAGCTTTTAAATATTCAAAATTTTAGTGATTGTTTCACTGATGTATTGTTCAAAATTAGTTCATATTTTCGGTAATTTATCTTCTTTTCAATCTAATTTTTTCTGTTTTTAATCCATGTATGATCAATTTATTTTGATTAATTAGTTGATTTTAGAAAAATTATATTCTTCAATTAGTTGGTTTTTAGGATATTAAATTCATAGATGATGTTCAGTTTATTTTGATTAGTTTGATTTTATAAAAGTTAGATTATCCAATTAGTTTATTGCTAGGATTTTGGGTTCAATTTGGCGGGTATGGGGTGGGGATTTGGGGGGTATGGGGCTGAGACGGGAATGGGGCGGGGGTGGTTTTGGAGTTGGACCCACTGGGGCGGGGATGGGGATAATTTTCGAACCCGTCGTGGGGATGGGGGTGGAGATGGGGATGAGAATGTGAGGCAGGGATGGGGAAGGAAATGCCAAAACCTGCCCCGCCCTGCCCCGTTGACATCCCTAAAGGGGAGTTTTCAATTTGATTCTGGGTTTCCCTTCTCCAGGAGTTTGGGTGGTTTTCCTTGTTTTACTTTCTAGGGGGTGGAGTTACCTATGCAGTTGGAAGATTTCCCTTGCATTTGGAAATTGCAGCGGAAGAGTGGTATTGAGGAAAGAGGTTGTTTGCTGTCCTGTTGCTTGGTTGTGGGATGATATGGGCATTAACATAATTAATAAACTATTTAGATAATTAGATTGACGCGAATTAATTGGGTTAAGCCGGTTAACTTTCAAATAATGCGTTGTCTTGATACCATTTAAGAATGTGAAAAATAGTTTGGCATTGCTTCTCATTCATCAAAGATTAGTATATATACACCAAAGACTTTTAGGTTAAGCTAAAGCTAAACTAGGAAAGATATACACTAAATATATTTTAAGATAATAACAAAAGGTTATTTACATAATCTATCATAGACCTCTTTATAGTTTATTAAGTGCATGCCTAATTTTCAAACATTTTTATTTGCATATATGCTAATTATACTGAATTATTCAAAATAATGAGAGTTAAAATTAACATTTTTTAAACATTTATTCACATCTATATTTTTTATTTTTATTTTTTACAAATAATTTATATTCTAGTTTTTAATGTACTACAGTCAAATTAAAAAGTACTCCCTATGTTCCATAAAATTATAATATATAAGTATTATCTATCGGTCAAAGTTTTATATGGTAAGCATTGGACATAAGGAAAAGAAAATTATCACATGCTATTTTTTTAATTTACATTTCAATGTAAATTTCCATAAATATTGTTACTAATATAAAAATAAATAAATTAGTTGTCAAATACGAGCATTGGAAAACAAGCTATGCATGAAATGGAAAGAATTTGTATGAATGGATGGAGTATTCTAGATTAGAATGCAAGTTTTCTTTTTTAAAAGTGATAAAATCAATATTATGTAAAATGTTTTTTAATAAAAAAAAAAGGAACTAAATTAAGTTAAAATTGTTGCCTAGAGGTATCGAACCCCTGACCTACGTGCATCCAACAACTTATATCTTACTTCCCCAACCACTAGAGCAACGCGGAGTATATTAAATGTTCATACATGATATTATTTTTATACTAAAACAATGTTGTAGCAGATTTCATTTTTTTATTATTTTTTTTCTTGAGGGGCTACCCCTTGCTCCAACGTAGGTCCGCCAGTAGTTTTCCTTGGAGCCTTCTTGGTTGGTTATAGGCGTAAGGTTAAGCAATCCATTGCTAGTTAGGTTGGTGGTCCTTTTGGTTGCCTTTTCGGGGTGTGACTATGTTCCTCTGGCAATTAAATAATTTTCGGGTGAAGGGGAGTTTTCGATTTGGTTCTGGGATTCCCTTCTCTGGGAGTTTGGGTGGTTTTCCTTATTCTATTTTCCAAGGGGTGGAGTTACCTATGCAATTGGAAGATTTTCCTTGCATTTGGAGATTGCAGGGGAAGAGTGGTGTTGAGGAAAGAGGTTTGTTTGTTGTCCTTGTTGCTTGGTTGTGGGATGATATGGGCATTCCTACAATTGCTATCATCCTTTTGTTGTTGGAATTGGTGATGGAAAAGTCAGTCATTTCTGTAAATCAAAATCTTGAAGGAGGCTCCCCATCTTCAATGTTTGGGGTAAGCAAAGTCCTCCATTTTCTTGCACTCTTTGTTGGTAGAGTTGAAAGAAGAGAACCTGCATTGGGATGTACGGTTCATGGTAGAGTCGTTCCAGTTTATGACTCCAATGGGTTTGTTCCTAGACTCCTAGAATGCGGCTATGATTTTCGATCCCTAGGAGTGGAATGTTGTTTAAGGTCCTTTCTTCAGCAATAGGGTGCATTCTTTTTCCGGTGTTAGTACCAATTTGGGTTTTAATTTCTTCAATTAAATTATTCTGCATTTTCGGTCCGTATCGAATGTTTCAATTAATTCGGCATCTCTTGGTCCACATGTTGGATGTGGTACGTTTCTCTTGGTTGATCGGGCTCCGTAATATTTGGTGTAATGAAAGATTTTTGTGGTACTTTCGTTCTCTTTGTATTTCCTCCAATGGTCAGTGGCTGATGTATGTGGGTTTGTTTAGGCATGCTGCCTTAGTTTATTTACACAAGGTTGTATCTTTTGTTGTTCATATTAGGTTGTTTTTGGTTTCTTTTAGCTCTCTTAGGTTGTAATGTCGCTTTTATTTATGAAGTTCTCTTTGTCAAAAAAAATAATAATAATAATAAATAAATACCTAACTCAGCAAGCATACTTTTATGATATTCTATTACAGTGTATATATCATATTTGTTAAACTTAGAATCATAATACACCAAATACACGTATAATAGAATATGATATATACACTATAATAGAATATATTCTAGCAATGTCTATTATCATGACATATGTGTACATCAAATGTATTCATATTAGATTTTAGGAATACAAATTAGTTCACATATGAGCAATACTTTACATACTACGTATTAGATATAATGTCTATCAATAAGACAATATACATTTTTTCAATGATACGTACTTTTATCAACTTAAATTAAACTCAAACCTTTAAATGTGGATATGTATGGATTAAGTAAAAATTGTAATGTATTATATATTTTTTGAAAGTTAAATTTTAAATTAAAATTTACGGTTTTTTCACGAAATACCCATGAGTTTTAACATAATTCTCCAATTACCACCAAAAGTTTTCAAATTCACCATATACCATTCAGTTTTTACACAATACCACACAATACCTTTTTTGTTAACGGACGTTAGGCTGCCGTTTATGGGATTTTACAAATTCACCATATACCCACTATGTGAAAACTTATTTCACTATATACCCAAAAATCATAACAGCTACTTTTTATATTAAAAAAAAAATAAAAAAGTCGTTCCATTTTTTGTAACGGTTAGTTTATGTATAAAAACACCTTCCTAGAGGGATTCAAGCAGCCACACTTCTAAGTTCATTTGCAAACATGTCTACACATTCTAAATCATCATCTTCATGCTATGAATCTGCATACGTTAGAGTGTCAAACAAAGCCTGTTCATGTGGGAGGAAATTTGCAATAAAAGCTTTGACTCTGCAAATATCCTAAAAGATTGTATAATAAGCGTGATGCATGTGAAAAATTGAGATGGTGCAAGGGAAATGCTGAGCAAAATAATGTTGGTTCGGGTTATGAATTTCAATGTAGGGAGGGCATTGATACACAATTTCATGGAGATGAGAGCATGTTGAAGCAAGAAATGAAGCAGCTCAAGAGAAGACAAGTACAACAGCAAAAATAGTAGATGCAACAATTAAAATTGGCGTAGTTATGTTCATAATGATTTCATTTGTAGCATTAAAATGAGTTTTTCATGTAAACAAAATATCATTGCTACATAAATATGCACTTGGAGTACTACATAATTTGTTCTTACATAATGAGTTTCATGTCCAAAAACTGATTTAGGCAAACAAACCAAGCAATTCATAACATAATTTGTTCTTACAAAAGCTTTTAAAGGTTAGCAAAAAAAAAAGAAAAATGACAAAAGCAGCAGTAAACCCAGAGAGCTTGAGTGTTAGCCTTTCTCTTCCTCCCCCCTCCTTTAGGTTGCTTTGAAGTGTTGGCAGCCTGTTTTTTTTTTTTTTTTTTTTTTTTTTTTTTTTTTTTTTTTTTTTTTTTTTTTTTTTTTTTTTTTTTTTACAGCTTCCACTACTACAAAAACATGAAAAGAAACCCCCCTAAAATTGGCCTAAGAAACCACTTTAGAGGGGGTTTTAAGCTCAGTGGTCTGTTAAGTTAAGAAACCACCTTTTATGGGGGTTTGTTTGCTCAACTTTAGGACCCCCTTTTTTGACAGAAGGGGTTTCTTAAATACATCTAAATTGATTTTTCAAAGCATTAAAGGAACCCCCTTTTTTCAGAAAAGGGGTTTCATATATTATACATAAGAGACCACTTTCTAAATAGGGGGTCTCTTAGATATGTTCGTAATTTAAAAAAAAATTATATACAGCTATACTCGTATATATGATAGCTATACCACATATTCAATTTCATGCCTTTCGTAAGCTACAAATCTCACATATTAATACTACAAGCTCAACAAAAAAGAATCATATACTTAATTTTATTGTTTTACAATTTACTACTATAAAATTAGATACATAATCAAAAACTTTTACAATAACTAATTATCTAAAACTACTAAACAAATGACGATCGTATCCAAACAAAAATTAATATACTTCCATCATGCCTTTAGATTCTTTGAATTCATTTGATGAATGACAATATCCACCTACAAAACACACAAAATTAACCAAATTAATTAATAAATCAAAGGTTACAACAAGTAAAAAGATTTTTCAAAAACCGAACTTAAAATTAATAAAAAAAGATAAAAAAATAATTTGGAAAGGAATATAAAAAACAAAATATGCAGAGTAGTATTAACAGTTTCGAAAAAAGATTAAATTTAGTAGTATTAACAATTTCGAAAAAAGATTAAATTTAAAATTAAAATTAGACTCAATACTAACGACAATTGAAATAAAATAATTTAAAACAAAAGTACATCATCTTAAACCAATAATGAATAGCATAACTAAATCCGA